GCTTTTATATAGTATGCTCTTTGGCTCACAGACTCTCCCTTCCTTAATACTGTACATACCAATTATGTCCAGCAAATATATTGATATATTTCAAAGTATCCTGATGTTCCAAAAGATTGGTTTGATAAATGCTGTTGTTCTAAGGTTTATTTCTTAGATTAGAATGACTAAACTAGGAAAAAGCAAAGTAATTTAAGGTTTGAAAGAGGGGAAAAAAAATACCAGGCAAAATAAGCAAAAATGAATTAATTGTCACAAGAAAAGGATAAAAGAGCTCGGCAGTACATAAACCCTTAGGGATTAGGAGGGCATTGCACAAAGCAGGGAGAACAATTGTTGAAAATTATATCAGGAGATCTGATTAGGAATAATAGACTGGAATTTAAAGGAAGAAAATTAGGAGATACGTCTGAACAATCTATGGAATAGTACCTAATTGGGCAGTGGGGGAGTGCTAGTCTTCAAATTGCTTATGAGGTAGTTCAGGTATGGTAACCCAAATCCTAAATCCATATTCAGATTTTACATAATCCATTCTTAGACAAACTTTGAATATAGAGAGTATTTTGTTTGAATAAATTCTAAGTAAAAAATGGAGGGCTTTGTAATGCATCTGAGGATTTCCATTTTCTGCGTTGAAAAGGTGCCTGCTTGGCTCAACAGCAACATTCCCATTTTCACCTTTCAGCAGAACATTTACAGGTTCTAACCACCCTTCAGCCTAGAAATCACATCATAAGCGAGGTCTTGGGAAGAGTTACCTGTTGGGAAACGATGCAAGTGTTGACCATGCTGCAGCCAAGTATTGGGGAGTAAAGGGCCATCATGACCCAGGGTCATTATGGAAACACCAGAATACACCACCAGTCCCCTTGAATCCACTGGACTGGCTGTTGGTCCCCTCAGGAATGGTGAAGACACAAATGCTGAATCTTTCATAATGGGACATAATTAGGGATAAACCTCAACCAGAAGAACCTTACAAAAGCTTCCTTTCCTATAATTATCCCCTAGTTGATTTTCTCACAAAATAGTGTGATCAGGCCCTGAATAATGACTGTATGATTGGACCTGGGGTTTTGATGCACTTTTTTTTTAACCAGATAAAATTATATTATTAATCTTTGTTATGAATTGTCAGAATGAATAAGAATGCCATTGTAGCAGATTGCTATAACAGAAGTTTTATGTAGAATGTACACAAAATGTCTATGGCCATTTCTTTGTGAAGGGTTATATCATTGATATGGGTAGTAGCCTAATCTTATTGAATTCTTCAGATTGCTAGTAAATAGGACAAAAAACTGAAAACAGAAAACTTTGCTTCTAAGATTTCTGAGTCATTCAGAAAAAGATCAAGTTTGGCATTATTAATTCCTTACTGCCTAAAAGAAAAAGGTGCCCTGAATTCTTCCAGGGGCATTACTAAAAGAAAATGCCATCCATTTTCCTAGGCACAATATTCTAAAATTTTAATGAACAAAGAACATTCCCCACCAATTCCAATATCTCTTTAAATTGTGTTTGCCAGTTGAATTTTTTAATGTGGATGTAATCTGTTATCTTTATACAGATTATTATGGGACAAATTCTAAGATGCTTTAGTATTACATGAATAAACCTAAACTTAAACAGAAGTAACAATATTCACATGGGCACATATATAACAGATATGTGTTCGAAAAAAAGGCATTTGGCAAGGGAAAAAGATTAAGGGTATGATTAAGGAAGTTAGGCATGCATCTCTCATTGACTTCGAATGTTGAAACATTATTTCAGAAGAAGTTTGTGGTACTGAAATGTAATAGGTAGGGTACCTTACTACATTAGCCATCTCTGAAATTCCATGTCAGTGGCCAAGTGCCAGTGTTGGAGTTGATCTAGTTGATACTGGACACATTACAGAATATCACTGCATTTTGTCTAGTTGTTTTTTGGTTGGTAATATCAGTAGAGATGATAACCAGTGAGGAATACACCTAGAGAAGTCTCTCCAGATCAAAATGGAGGTATATTGGAGAATATTGCAAGAGGTTTTAACTTTCGCCATCCTTAGCTGTATTCGTTCTGTAGATAAATAAAGGGCTATATTTTTCCAGCACTGGTAATCCAGAATTTTTCACAGGTGCTAAATTTTCTTTAATTGTTTGTGCTTATATTATTACCCTCCCCACAAAGTCCTAGATCTACAAATGTTTCCTATCAGTAGAGGTTGTCCTGACTTCATCTGAGCAAATGGTATTTTAGATGCTTGGATAGTAAAAAAAATATTGCTACTTATTGTGTTTTTAGTGTATGAAAAAAGATAGCATATTCTAATTTCTGCTGAGGTAGAAAAACATGACTATCTCCAGGACTATCTCCTGGAATTGAACCTATCACCTATAAGATTATTAAATACCATATTTATTCAAATCCAAGATGACTCTGAATTTAAGATGATCCCCCAGTAATTAGATTCTAGACATGGACAGTTTATAAATTTATTATAATTTTTCATGTCTAGAATCTAATTATTGGAGGGTTGTCTTAAATTCATCTTCCCCCCCACCCCTCACAGCTGCAGAAGGGCAGGCAAAGGAGGGGGCAGTGGGGCCAGACAGTGGGAGAGCTGATGATGGGGGAGATGATGGAGGTCAAGGAGCTTGCTCCCTGCCCCTTGCCCCCTACTGCCTGCTCCCCCAACTGCATGCCCCAATACACTGCTTTCCCCAGTGCAGTGGTGGGGGGGGAGGGGTGAAGAGGGGATTTAAAATGACCTTCCAAGAATTAGAGCTTGACCCCTTCCCCTTCCCATGCCACTCTTTACCCCCTGCCACTTGTCCCCCTCACCACTTGATCCCCCAGCTTGCCTCCCCCACAGTGCTTGCCTTCCCTCCACTGTCTCTGCCCCTGCCATCTGCCTCACCCCCAGAAGCCTCGGGCCTCCCACTCTCTCTTCCCCCATCTCCCCACCCCATAGCCTCCACCCATCCACTAGGCAATGAGTGGGTGGGGAACCCTAGACTGCAAGAAGGTAAAGGGGGTGGGGCAGAGATGGTAAGGGGCAGGCAGTAGCTGCAGCCCTGATTCTGCACCTGAGTCACAGTTGGAGTCAGGGTCATGACCAGAGCTGCAGCTGAAACATCTGCCTGCACCACACCTCCTTGTACTCGATTTCAAGGTGAAGGGTTACCCCCATGTTAAGTGAGGAAAACCCCTCATCTTGGAATGGAGTAAATAAAGTAGTATTGAGTTGTTGTTGTTCTTGGGCTGCATGGAAAATTGAAATTACAAAAGCAAGTATTTCCTTCTTGAGTGTTATTTTGTAATGTTAATCATGTGAGTGACAAGCAACTGATGTTGAAAAAGACCTGTTATCCACTCAGTTTTATAGTGATTCTAACAGACTTTTGGGCCTCCTAGAAGCTGTTGGATCTCCATTTTTGCTCTATTCTGGTTGTTTCTTCAGTAGTCATCTTTTATGGGTTCCAGTATACATTTTAGAGTTGTACTTCCCTGTCTTTGTTGGGCACAAGGAGGTACAAGTATACAAAGAAGCCACCTATGTAGAAATGTTCCATATTAAACATTACTGTAGCACAATCCTTTTGCATTTCATTTAGGGTCCTAAGGATTCCAAACATCCTAAATGATTATTAATTCACAGGGATTTGAGAACCCACAGGCCTTACAAGATCAAATCCAATGTGACTGAGAATCCAATGTCATAGGATCATAGAAGTAAGGTTGGAAGGGACCTTGTAGATCTTCAAATCCAACCCCCTGCCTGGGCAGGAGAAAAACTGGGCTCAAATGACTCCAGCCAGGTAGGCATTAAGCCGCCTCTTAAAGACCCCCAGGGTAGGAGCCAGCACCACTTCCCTTGGAAGTTGGTTCCAGATCCTAACCACCCTGACCATGAAGTAGTTCTTACAGATATCTAATCTAAACCTACTCTCCAACAACTTATGGCCATTATTCCTTGTGATGTGACCTCAGCTTTCTACCTTTATGCAGTCTGCGCAGCCTGGAATAGTATTGTTCAGTATTTTGCGAATGAGAAAAATACATTATGTGCAGACAAAACTTACTGGTTCCATCTACTGTAGTTGATTGGACATTAATGAGGGAAGATTTTTTTTACTGAACTTTATTTCTGATTAAAGTTGTGTAGGTTGTGTTACATAGCCTGTGGGGCTGCAAACTGTGTATAGATGAATGATATTTAAAGCAGTTTTTGAGTGGCTTAAACATGTAATTACTAATGTAATTGAAAAATGAAGTTCTTCATTTTTAAAAGAAATTGTATGCAGTAAATAGCAGTCCCGTTTATTTTATTCTTGTGACAAACCAGTAAAGAAATCTTTTTCCTTATGTATATAATTTAATTTGTTATGAAGGAATGAAAATGAGCCAGCTTTTCTAGAGCTATTTTCATTTCATATTTCTGTTCTATCTGCCTTGAAAATCCATAGTGAGAGAGAAACTTTTTAACCACTTTCTTTCAGATGTCTGTGTCCCATCTGTATTTTTATATTCTTTATTTTTAAGATTTAAATTGCTAGTCTTCGTGGGCTAAGTGTTATAATTAGTAAATTGTGATTTATGATTGACAAGCAAAAAGAAATTAGCAGGAAAGTTATGTTTCTGTCTTTGATTTTGATTGAATAAAATAAAGTAGCTTAAGGTCAAAGGACCAAGTCACAGATGCCATGTTCTTTGTGACTTTTGTACACTTGCGCGAAGGAAATAGGGAAGGGTCTCCTGATAATTTGCATTTTATACCTATTTTGCAGGCATTATGTAGTGTTGTAAATCAAGCCACAAGCAGCAGCTTACAATTATTTAGTTCAGAGGCCACTGAGCTGTTTTCAGTGAGTGTGGAACTGCCATTACTGGCAATGAGCGCTAGTTGCCTTGACTGGAGGCAGCATATGAGCCAGGGAACCTTAAAATAATGTCTAAATGGTTTGTTTATGTTTCTGCTCTTTTCTTATGTATTTGCTGTGATTTGACAGAGCGTTTGAGGTCACCTGTCAAACTAGCAGCGGAGATGGAGTAAAGCACCTTTATTCTAAGCCCTTGCTAACACAGTATTCAGCTCTGACTCAGACAGAGAGGGTAAGTTCACTGATTATACTCCTCTTTCTGTACTATGGCAAAATGAGTTGCAGAGAGAACAGTTCGAAAGCCAAGCATTTCTAAATACTTTTTCCTTTTATGGAAAGGAGCTCCTAGATCACCATTTCCTGGAGATTGTATTCTAAGCTACCCAGCACTAGAAGAAAGATTTCTATAGCCACTGATCTATATCTGACAACAAAATTGAACCCTGAGGGGATCCATTTTTACCTATTTTAAGCATGAATTGACAACAACAGACTAGAACTAAACCAAACGTATTTATCCTCTGAATGTGGGAATAAGTAGAATTTGGTGAATAGGGTGGTTTTCTTGTTTTGTTTGTTAAATCTTTTTTTGTACTCTGTGAAGGGCTCATCCAAATGACAAACAAGATTCTTTGGGTAAATCTGATATCTTTTATTAGACCAACTGAAATAGATGGAAAAAATTTTTCTTTGCCCAGGGGTATAGGTTGTAGCCATGCTATTTGAGTTGGTCTAATAAAAGATATCAGATTTACCCAAAGAACCTTGTCTGCCTATGTCCTTAGACCAACATGCCTGCAACCTATACCACTCATCCAAATGAGTATTTTAGCCTTTTACACTACATCTATGGTACCCAAGTTAAAAACCTCTAAATAGATGTATACTAGCTGCAAATGGTGATTTTTTTTTTTAAAGCCTTTGCTATTGCTAATGGTCTAATTTCAAAATTGTATTCTGGATCATTGGTTTTGATAAAAAACAAAACAAAACAACAACAACACATTAAATAAAAAATTAAAATAAAATAAAAAAGACCACATTAAATAAAAAGACCACATTAAATTTTGACAAAATACTAGAAATAGGTCATACAGGGCCTGATCCATGCCAACTAAGGTAGACAGACCTCCACTGACTTCAATGATCAGACCCATAGTGCATCCCCATTCCCATCCAGCATGGTGAACTAACTTTGTTCTTCCCTAACCATAGATGGTTATCTTGTCTCTCCTTGGCTGTCTCCAGTGATGATTCAGTTGGCACCTTATTCTCTTGCATGTTTATATTTCTACTATTTAAACTAACTTTCCCTCCTCCTCTAAAGTGAGTACTCCCTTATTCTTGCACTGCTTGGGGAGGAGCAGGGGAAGGGGGAGCTAAAACTGGCAATACTGAACTATTGGCAGCATGAATCCAAAAGTTGTCTTGCCAGCAAGGGAAGCCTAGGTCACGTCAATGATCATTGTGTTCTCTGCACTATAACTCAGCATTCTATGGGGCTTTTAATATTACATATATGTGGAGGCTTTGAGCTCTAGTGGGTTTCAAAGGCTGTACCCAGCTTCTCCCTCCATTCCAGAATGACAAGCAAAAAGAAACTTCCCCACGAGGAGAGTATAGAGGTAAAACTTAAAGACTTGCTAGAGGTGTTTTTATACTCCCTTCCTTCATGCAGGTTATCCGTGAAAGAACAAATCAGATCCCTTCATGTTTGCTGTACCGCATTGTTAATGACCTTCTGTTCCTTTGCATTGGTCTTGAGTTTCTCCTCCCTCCAGTCTATGCTTGAGAAACTGCAGGTCTGGTTGCATCTGTCTGGCTGACAGTAGGACTGTCCTAATTTTATATTATGTAAGGTTGCTGTAGTTTATCTGGTGTGATGGAGAGATCTGCTTCATCCTCATCCTTTCCCCCTGTTCTGCCCCAACATCTCAACATGCCCTGTTACATCATAAGTGGGTTACTGGTCCAGAAGGTGGCAAAGCATCCCCATTTCCCCTGTTTCCACAGTAGGAATTTTCCACAGGTTATAAGCAGCTAATCTAAAGATAGTATGTATTGTTTATGCAGCAGACCAGAAAATTCAGGCCAAATCCAGACTCATAAATCCACTAGATCTGGTCAAGAGAAAATACCCCTCTCATGGAAGTAACTATGTACAGGCCCATGCTGCACCTTCATTACCTTGTAGTCCCTTATATACATAGTCCCTGGTATATATAACTATATACAGATGGGTTGGATACCAGAGGTGATAAAGCTGAGTCAGAAGAAGGAATTTCTATAGCGCTCAGCACCACAGAGATTCTGAGTTGCTCCTGGCTGCCTTAGGAAACCAAAGTAAAGCTGTAGTTTGTCAGAGGCTGAATCTTTCCCCAGTCAGCACAAAATGGAGTGCTGCGCAAATGACCTTTATCCTGTCAATGTGTCTATGTTTTATTTTCTACACCTCCTATGAGCCACAACTTGGAATTTGTTCCTCCACGTCTTATACAAGTCTTGTTTTTTAAATCTAAAAAAAGGACTGAACTTGACCTACTCAATGGTTTTTACTTGCTGCAATGTGTCTCTATCATTTTAGCTTTTAATTTTGTGTAAAGTAGGTGTTCACCTGTGTAAGGGACTGACAATTAGGCATAATGGCTTTTGCAAAGCTGTGAGTGGAATCTTTCATGTTAACCTCTGGAAATGTGAAAGATTTCACTCACAGCTTTGCAAAAATACCCTTCTCCTGACCTACAGCATTCCTAATAATTTGGTCCCAGGATACTCTTGAGTAGACACGGTTAAGCATGCCAAATTTATATGATGTTTCTATGACTACTGGGGATTAGATAAAACAAGTAAATTAATATTCATTTGTGACAGAAGTAAGAACTGAACACTTCTCTTGGCTAATCGTAAGCTCAAGCTGCAGAGCTATGTTTTGGATCCAAAATAGTCACAAAATTGACGGCTTGCTCGGATCACATGCCTCCATTAAATCCTATGAGCACAAAAATAAAAAGTGGGCATGTCTACACATGCATTTATGCCATCTTAAATTTACTGCACAGTAAATTACTGAGCAGTAAGTGAGAATAGGTCAATGTCTACACTATGTATGGACTGACTTGGGACTAAAGTTAGTTCCAAGTCAGTCCACACATACAGTGTTACTGCACAATAAGGCATCTATACATGCATTTCTGTACAGTAACTAATTAGGTGTAAATCTGATACCTGCATCATGCATGATGCAGGTATCAAATTTATGCTCAAGTCAGCATAAGTCATCATATTTACTGCACACATGTAGAAGTGTGCCTGTACTGCACTGTAATTTCAGTTGCTGCACAGTAAATGTGCACATATAGATGCGCCCAGTGAGTCGCTATAGTCCGTTGAGCTAGCTAGGTTCTATGTTTTATCTTCTTTTTTTATATATTATGGTAAATATTCTGTGATATTTAAAAATCACTTAATAGTTGAAACATATTCAGCTGATTTAAACTGATGCCTGCATAAACTGTGTGTCTGTGTTAATAATATCTATAATATTTCTGCAAGTCTGTGCAAGTATATAATGTGTTATGTCAAAGATACATTTGAAAGACTTTGCCCTAATAAGCATTAGATACCTCCATTCCTTCTGTTGTGGAAAAAAAAACATTTGCAACCATAATATTTGGCCTAAATGTAAGTTTTCTGTCAACTTCAGTAGAGCCAGAATTTCACCCTTGAAGTGTACTAAATATCTTCAGAAAGAGTTGAGGCATAAATATTTGATCATTTTAGCTGATTTTGTTAATTAAGACACCCATTTGTGAAGAAAGTTAATTTTACGTAGGAATGTAAAATGTCATGATTTTTTTGTTTTCACAGTTGAATTACTACTTTCACAGAATTCCACAGAATTCCTGCACCTTGTTAAAGTGATACTCCTAATGAAAGAGTTAGTGTGTTTAAGCAGTCATTTGTTTCTATTTTTTTATCAGAGCTAAAAAGCTGTTGGTAGCAGAGGAGAAAAAGTAAACACAAGAGAAAATGATAAATGCACAAACCTTCCTAGTACATGCAAAAATTTGTCCAATTTCTGGTTGAAAATTTAAACTGAGAAATGAAGGCTCTTGAATTAGTCTACCACCAAGTTGTTGCTTTTTGGTAGACAGATTCTTGGTGAAAGGATCAGTAAAAATGTAGTTGGTATGAACGCTAAATCTGCCCTACTTGAATGAAAAGAAAAACACCAAGCAATTGTTAGGCCTATACTAATTTAATAGGAACATAAACAGTGCTTTAAAAAGTAACAAATGTAGCTCACTTGGTGAGTTGTGCAAATTTAGCTGTAGAAAAGTATATTGCCTGTACTGACGTCAGATTGGAACTCATACTTCTTCTGGGTACAATAGCATTCATTTGCTTTTGTGGTAAGGTGATATAGTATACTGCATTTAATCCAGGGGAGTCCCTTTGAAACAGGACCCATATCTGAGGCCCTGCAATTTCAAATTACCAAAAATCCTAGATATCTAGTAAATCAGCTTTTTAAATTCTGTTCCCAAACTGTCCAGCAGGGGTCACAGTAAGTCTTTTAATACATTGTGAGTATGCTATACCATGAATAGCACCACATATAGGTCTGTTCCTCAAGCTGCTTTTCAAACTAATCCTCAAACTGCTTTTCAAACTAACTCATTATTTCTTGTAGTGTCATTGTCAAGTAGGTATTAACTTCCCCTATTTCCTGGAACATGGATAATGGATAAATGGAAATGGATAAATACAGGTGAAGCTCAAATGTTTTTAAAGTATTATATAATCTGATACACCTCAATTTTCAGGACCCAATTTTAGACATCAAGGCTAGGGACAGACATTACACATAAACCGGTTTAAGTGAGCAGAAACTGGCTTAAATCTGTAACAGAACAGATGTTCATTGCACATAAACCAGTTTCAAAATGGCTGAAAATGGTTTGAGATAGACCTGGTTGAATGTAGTATCAGACTTAACTGATTTGGGTCAAACTGTTTTATGCAATGTCTGTCCCAGACCCCTTGCTGGTTTAATTTATAGTTTCATAGTTTCTAGGGTCAGAAGGGACCTGAGAAGATCATCTAGTCCGACCCCCTGCCATGGCAGGAAAGAGTACTGGGGTTAAACGACCCCAGCAAGGTGTTCATCTAACCTCTTCTTAAAAACCCCCAGGGTAGGAGCCTGCACCACCTCCCTTGGAAGTTGGTTCC